ATATACATACATACATTTTAAGAGCCAAATGTGAAAAGCAGCCGATAAAAGCAGAAACTGTGCAACTTTTCACAACAGAACAGATGAATAATGTCTAATTAAATAAAATATTTAATGTTTAAGTTGGTCATATTAAAGCTTACTTTGAAAAAAAAACACAAAAGAAAGTCACAAAGAACAGATAGAGCGAGGTAACTCGCTGTAAATTAATCTTTGCATTTATCAAATAAAACATCACTGAGTCAAAGATCTGTGAAAATCATTTTTATTAAATCAGTCAAACTGTGGTCAAATCGCTCCAGATTTTTTTTATTTATTTTTTTGTTAATAAACTTGGACGGCCTCATGGATCCAGTTGTGATCAGCTCCTGTTGACATTTACAGTAATCTGAGAACTAATGTAAAAATCTAATCATATCACAGCTTTTTGAAACCATCAAGGTCCTTATTGTTCCCATTAAAAGTCAGTAATTTATTACAAAACAAGACTATAGTAAAAACATTTCAACCCTTTTATTCATCTACTTAAGCATGTTTAATTGGGATTATTTAATTGATGTAAATTAACTTTAACACTGAAAGTATCCATCACTAACACTTCATGGAAAATAACTAACTTTCTCTATTTCTAAGTGAAAAAGCAGCAGAGTAACCATCCTCTGTGTGAGAGAAATCACTCTGAATTTAAGTCATATGGTTTTAGTCTCCACCCTTTTTAGTTATTTAAATCGAGGTCCAGTGTTACAGTTATACAGATGTRGACAAGAGGATACATTCCTGAAAAAGAGGTACAACTCCAAGTAGAAGTTTGTATTGATCAAATGACTCATTCCCTTTGAAACAGAGAAATACTCTGATGTTTATAGTTTAGTGGATTTAAAAAAAAAAAAATCAACAAAACTAATGAAATTACCCGACTTCATTTTGAACAAATACTGCAACGKTGGTCAGATTCAAGAATCATGAAGCAGCTTCCAAATGGGACAAGACGTGATTAGGAGCAAAGTGACAGCTGTCAATAACGCCCTGAGCTTTGAGTCTAATGTGTCCGTGAATGTTTGCGCTTCTTGTGTTGAGTGGAGTTTCTCACTGGTCAACGCGACCCACTCTCTTCGTGTAAGCATCCCAGCCTGCTTTTCTGTACGCCTCGGCAGCTTCGAGCCGATCAGGAGCCTGTAAAACACCTCGTCCCACAATGATGATGTCAGAGCCTTTGCTGCAGATAACCTCCTCTGGGGCTGTGTACCGCTGGCCCAATGAATCTCCTGAAAGGAGGAGGGAAACAAGACAGGAAATATGGGCGAGCAGGCATTGTGTCAATTAGAATGTCTGAAACAACAGTGCCACCCTGTGTTGGAAACATGTAATGTTTTATCAAAGATCTGTTCCCCCAGTAACAAACGCTGAACCATCAAAATAATACTGATTAATATCAGTTTGGTTGAATTTACTTTACATAGCCAGTGTTGCTACAGTTTAAGGCAAGTTAAATTTAAGACTTCTGAAGACTTTTTAATGCCAAAAGAAGTTGAATTTAAGACGAATTTCACAATAAACACAAAGGATAAAAAAAATAAAAACTGGCAGAAACTCATAAATCAAAGTATTTTTGGTTGAAGTATTCAAATATTCCTAATAAACCAATTGTTTTTAACCATATCCAACTGCTTTTTTGTCAGTTTTAAACTTAATTTAACTCCTCGAAATTCTCTAACGACCCAAAATTTGGAGTTTTAGTACCCACAGTGGGGTCTTGACCTTAATTTGCTGTAGAAGAAACCTTAAAAGTGCCGGTGACATCAACTTTTTTGTAAGAAATGTGAATACATTTTTGGAAATTCAACATTATTGACATTATGAAACGAATTTCGCGATGCTCAGACAGACAGTTGAGATATTTGCATGTGAAGCAAGAGGAAGTGATGTCATAGAGGAATGTCTGCATGTGAMCGTTTAAAAAAATGTTTCCAATTATTTTAATATTTGAAACAAATTGCAATCATCCTATTTACAATGTGTTAACATTTTTAAGACTTCTGACAGTTTGATTTAAGACATTTTAAGGCTAATTAAGGCCTTATTTTTTGGATTGATGAATTCAATGCCTTTTAAGACTTTTTAAGGATCTGTAGGAACCCTGATAGCACCAGAATAGATTTTGACAATAACTGATTTCCTATAGAAATATAATAATGTGCAGTGTATTTAATCAGCAGATTTGCATTAATAATAATAGCATAGAACAATTTTAATTTACCTCCAGCTTGTAACTGCACACCAGGGGTCATGTGGATGAACTCTGGCTTCTCTGTGATCTTAGCTCCACAGATGAATCCAATCACAAAGTCTGAGTGCTCCTCTGCCATCTGCAGCTGCAGACATATAGAACAGATGTTAAAGCTGCTGTGATCACTGCAAACAAATAGTCCTCTGCAGAAATGTGCGTACCACAGCCTTTGTGTATTCACCAGTGGCCAGAGAGCCCTGCGAGCTCATCTGAGCAACCAGCAAACAGCCTCGACCCAGAGGCTTCCCTACAGCGCTCAGCCCCTTCACCACCCCAGGTCCCGGAACAGCGTGGGCATTGACTATGTGGGACCATGAAGAGATCTGGAACACACCACCTGCAGAAAAGAAACAAGAATACAATGTTGGACTAATTGCCTATATTATATGCAACAAATAAATAAAAAGACTAAAATCTTCTCACCTTCATATTGATGCTTGACTGTATTTCCAATATCTGCAAACTTGCGATCTTCAAATATGAGGAAGTTGTGCTTTTCAGACGAAGCTTGCAGTTCCTGACTGACAGCCGGACTGTAATCCTGTTGGTGCACACACGCCAATGTAATGAGTTTATAATTTAACAAAGCTGCAAGTGTTACAGACTGGTTCTCACTAGGGCTGCCACGATTAGTCAACTAGTCACAATTATGTCAACGACTAATTTAATAGTCGATGCGTTGTTTTCTTTTTTCTAACTTTTTGTTTTTAGTTGACTAATCACCKATTAGTCAACTATAAARCCAGGGGCGGTTCTAGGGGCGGGGCCACAGGGGCATTGGCCCCAGCTGAAATCTGATTGGCCCCCTGAAGTGCCCCTGTCCTGTCACTCATCTGTCCTTTGCACAAGAGTGATGATGCTGGGTGCAGTTTCATGTTCAAACACTAGAGGTGCTAATGAGTCAAATAGGAAAGTCCAGTATGACTTAAACTTCTAAACGTCGTCTTCTCTTCTTAAAATTCGAACAATCCTGCAGGAAAAGTCTTTCCACTAACAAAAATTGGCTGGATTTTCTTACATGCTGTGTGTCTGAGAGTATTTGATCTATGTACAGTAAAAATGCATGTAAAACTTGTAAGGAGAATATGCAAGATTGTTTTTTATTACATTATAAGTGTATGAACACATGTGACTGGTTAAATGTATACATCATACCAAAATCAGAGATTTGTATACAAAGATGTTAAATAAATACTTGGCCCCTCTAAAAATATTGTGGCCCMTTAATGGCCCATATTAAAAAAAAATCCTAGATCCGCCACTGTTTAAAAATAACCGTTTGTGGCAGCCCTGTAAGACCTCATTTTGTTATAACAACGCATTATGTAATAATGTAAWAAAATCAGGCTTCAAAATGTAATAAACTCATGCTAAAACCTCATTATGTAATAATTGATGCAAAATGTAATAAAAGTCTTTAAYGCATTTTGTAATAMTCTCAGCCGCATTATGTAATAACGTTATTACAGTTTGCGGCTATTGTTACCGAAKGTGCTGGTGTAATAATCTGGTGCATTATAAGGGTGTAAGAAAATATCGATACACTGAAATATCGCGATATTTCATTTCCCGATACTGTATCGATATTCTAAAGCCCTGTATCGATTTTTTATTAAGGTTTAAAATGTCAACCTTCTTGCCAACCGGGATGGGACAGTCTCGCCACGGAGGACTGTGCCCACTCACACTATTTTCCTTAGACACTTAGGGTGGGGTTGGAGC